CTCAACATCACCGGAAGAATTGATTTCGTGCTCTGGAACTTTATAATTTATGAATGTACTTTAGAAGATATATATACAGCTGTTTGAATATATGCATAAATATATAAAACTGTTTAACCACTAAACTGTTCATTATAAAAATTATTATGACACTTTTTGAAACTCAATGCTAAATTACAAATTTAATTAAAATTTGTCCAGAGCAGGACTGTTCGGTTATAGCATACATTTGATATAAGACTTAAGCGGGTGATCCATTATTTCACAATGACTTCTGTTTAATCCTATGGTGAGTAATAAAGAATCCATAGATAGCACTTGTGTTACATAAAATTTTGAGGTTAAGTTTAGATTAACCTAGGAAGCGTTAAAACGAATTTCTATAAAAGGTCAAGTTTTAATCCTTCGTAGGTTAAAAATAGTTCAAAATTAGATCACAACTAATCTCCTGGTGCAAACGTGATTATTCGATCTTGAAAAGAAAAGTTTTAAAATGATTTCTAGTTGCCAATGATTACTTAAGATTATATTTAAATGTTATATAAAATTTTAAATTTTACGTTTTTATAATGTCTTGGAATGCTTATAATTACCTGCAGATAGAAGTTTACATAAATAGTACATAAATAAATGTAAATGGTGGCAAAAGTCAAATATAATGATCTAATAGTATTTTGAAATATCTTGCATACTTATGTATGTTTAAAAATACAATTAGATGCAAAGGTAGCCTGCCTTTATTGTTACTAAATAACTGTTATCCCACTTTTTTATATTAAAAATGACAAACTTTCTTCATAGCCTTGCTAATTTGTTCAGGGCACAGATACTGAGAAAATGACCATAATTTTTTGCATAAATGAAACTTACAGTTAATTATTCACAAAGGATAAAAAATTAAATTAATTCACAAAAACTAAAATTTAAAAATGAGGCCAATCCATAATTGTTACGCAATTTCCCAGAGTATCGCGACTTTTAGCTCAGTAACACACTCAGTCTTATATGTAACATATTATAAGACCTATTGGAAAGCCGTAAACGCAAGTAGAAGAAGTATCGAGGTTATGATTTAGGCTTTAGACAGTGTATGAGGACCTTATGGTCTCTCACTGTGTGTGGGGGAGGGGGGGGAGGATTCTAAAGTTTAGTGGTAGATTTTTCTTTTAACTTTACATCGGTAGATTTAAATTAATAATATTATTCTTAATTACTTAATTTAATAATTTAAATTAAGTAAATAGTATTCTTTAAATTTTGAGGAATAAAAATGGTAGTAGAAAGTCTATAAAAAAGGCATAAATAAACGTAAAAATGTAAAACAAAAAGAAATTGAAGTTCAGGCAAAATATTTTTGAAAATCGTGATCTTTTAGTGCACATATCAATTCAAAATAGCGAAAAATATCTACGGCAGCGCTTTGGAGCAGGGGTTTCTTAAAATTCTAGCATCGTGGGAGAAAATGTAAAGAAATAGTGAATAAAAGTTAAATCCGGGAGGCTATATATTGTTACATATAACCTAATCAACTAATCATATGAAGCAGCTAAATAGAAATAATTAGGCAATCATTAAACGTATGCAATGTCTACGTAGGGGTATACTTGACAATATTTTTAAGTCCATCCAGACTGTGAAAACGTTATGCATTTACAAAAATCAATGCCTTATACGGTATTCGGACATGCCCGAACAATATGCAGTACACAAATGAACAATACACAAAGGTATTCTTAAAAAGACATGCCAAGATTTAAAGGGTGTTGGAACCCAAAAATCTTCAAAAAATGGGGATTTCGGATTTTTACATTTTCAAATTCTCTACACTTTTATCTTTCTAAAAATACCATTCTTTAATCTTTATGAAAATTACAACTGTAAAAAATCTAGTTTTAATTTGTCATCGAGTTACCCCAAAAAATAAATTAACCAACTTCCAGTTGCAAAATCTTAAGAATTCAAATGGTATAAAGGAAATTTAAGAACTTCATTTTCTAAAAAAAAATCATGCAAACCTTTCAATATCTTAAAAATAGTGAAATAAGCAATAAATAACATGATAAACACACACACACAAACAAAAAGTTCTTAAAAGGAAAGTATAACTAATAATATTTTATCTCAGATCTTCAAGAGAAAACAGTCAGCAGTCCAATATACAAAGCATAGAGAGAAAGTCTGTATGTTTGTTCCCTAATAACTCAGTCACTGCTATAGCTATCATCATCAAACTTTCCACAATTCTTTTCCAGGTCTTAGAGGTCGATGGCCATTTTTTTTCCAACGAAAAGTAGCTAAAATCAGAGATATTAATTCAAAACTCTTCAGAGTGGCAACAGTACAATGGCAACAGTGATATATCAGTCACAATGGGTGCGTGCCATTGTTGCGGGTATGCCCATTATGTCTGATGCGATTTCATCAAAATCATAAAATTAAAAAAAAAACTCATTCGAATTTTGGAAAAATTCGCTTCGAGGTGCACTGGCTCTGGTCTAGATTCCTCTGGTCACCCTTATGTACCAAATTTCGTAGCCCTTGGTCTATTAGCTTACGTGCAGCCGAACGAAAGACACACGCACAGACTCTTCCTTTTATTGTCTGTAGACACAATTAAAAACTTATTTTATCTCCTTGACTTTAAACTTTTGAATACTTATTTTTCCACCAAAGCATAAATAAATAAATAAAATAAAAAATAAAAATCTCGTTTAAAAGTTTTAATTTGTTTGAAGTCCTTTAAATATTTAATTAGTTCAAACTGAACGGCCGGCTGTTTTACGAGCGCAAAATCATCATGCACAAATCGCTACGGTGAAATTATTATTGCAGCACTGACTGTTCTTAACCTACTTTAATTGTCACGTGATTTCACAAGAAGGACGGAGAATAATCCTTTTCCCACAGTATACTAGAATCGCATCTTTTTGTTGGGAAAAGATCATGACACATCAAAGTGAAACACGTAAATGCTGTGAGAAACGTTACAATTTGGCGCAGGTAAAGTTATGCTCGTAACCATCAATCCTACATTTCTTGTAAAAATGGGTTCAGATGGCTTTGTAAACAAATACAAAAAAATAAAACAATAAAATTTTTAGCCCAACGGAGCGTTAGCTCAGAATGACTATTCGTAACGAAACGGGATTTTGCGTTGAATCACAGTGAAAGGATGAATCCTTTTTCAAATTGTTGCCACCAAATATTATCGCCCTGTATTATTTTAAAAGAAATTAAATAAAAGGGAATGTGCATGAATGTAGGAAAGTTTCCCGCATTGGGAAAAACGGACGGTACCGAGAGCCATCAAATACTGAATAACGTAATCCTCCACACGAATATGGGCACCTGAAAGCCCGAATTTTTAATTTCAAATTTGCTTTATTATCTGTTTCATATTTGTAAAACTTTAACGAATTTTTGATTAACAAACTCAACGATTACAAAGCGAGCATTGGCACTACTATACGGAATAAACACTTTCACCTCCAGCGCTCCAAACTCTCTATCGGATATTCTAAAGATATGTTTTTAAATATTTCGTGATATTGCTGTTGAATTGAATTTTATGTAGTTTCAGAGCGACGAACATGTTATTTTTTAAATAAATATAACATAGTGGTGTATTTAATTATGGCAAAGCTCACTAGGGCTATCTGCCTAAGGGGAAGGATGCCTTCGTGGAGGACTTTCTAAGGGAAACTGGCTCGTATACACGTTACACATGGGGAAAACCACGAAAACACCCATGCAGCCAGCCCGTTCGCGGGATTCGAACCTCGGACCGAACTACCAGTGTTCAGCGACTTTACCGCTCGGCCGCTGGTGGGCCAAATATAACATAGAAAACATTAAAAATACGCTTCTTTGAGCGTAATATAAAATCTGAAAGCTTTGAGTTTTTTTCTATTTCATTTTATTTTTATTTATTTATTTTTAAGCTATGAATTTTTAACTTTCATTACTGTACCTCAGAACTACATTTGATGAAGATTCAATGTGGCCGCGAAATAAAATTCTTCCTTTCTGTGATAATAGTTGGTGAGTAATCGTAAAATTGACACAAATCGGTTATAAGCATGCAATGAAAATTTTGTGTGGTGATGCAGAACTTGATGATGGAGCTGTTGCACATAGATATAGCTGTAGTTACAGTCAGATAATGTAGGTCTTTAATCTTAGTAAACTAATACAGCTAAATCGTCGCAAGAGGCGCACCTGTTATTTAATAATTACATACATAGTTTCCATATACATATTTATTTACAGTAATATAATTGGAGCAATAAAGAGAAGCGACTCAATTTAGATCACAATTAAGCATTAAGAAAATGTGTAAATTACGATGTGAATACAAAATTAAGAATAGCAAAGTTATGGTTATACTTTATTTTTATTGATTAATTAAGGCTTTAATTTGAAATTTTGACCTTTATTATTGGGTAGTAGAATTTAGTTCTAGCCATTATATAAAAACATACATCTTAAGAGTTTATATGGAGAGTATCATGCGATAGAGATTAACTTTGAAATGATGCAGTTTGGAAAGATTTATTATAAGCATATTTTTGTTTTTAAACTAGAAACGGAAAGCAAGCAGGTTAAAAAGAATACCTAAAATATTAAAAACTTAAACTAAAATTTTATATTAGATACTTTTTAATTTATATGTGGCAGTCAAAAACTAATACAAAACCGGTTTTGTTACCGGAAAACGCCTTCCTTTCTATTTCAAATACTAGAGTTTCCATTTCGAAAAGAAATGACGCCGTTGCAAAATAGTAACCGTTTGTAAGGCGCATAATATAATCTTTCTTTTATCTTTCATATCATTACGATATATTTTTGATCAGTGCAACAGCGTGATCTATTTAAAATCAGTATTTACTTGATGATAATTCGATACTTTTCGATGGCCAAAAATTTTATCAAGGTTTATGCTATCACTATAATTTAACAAATACTCAAGTTGCAACGCGGTATTAATCTTTTTACTTTAACCTCATGACTTATGTATTACACAATATTCAATGTAAAGGTTGACTACTGAAAGCGCAGTTTCATTTAAAAAAATTCGGATACAAAAATTTTCAGTTTAAGATAAAAATTACGAAAAGCAATATGTTATTCCAAAATAGAAAGCTATTTTATAATATGAAGAAATGTTCATGTGTTGGGTGAGTGAGTTATGTGTTAAAACACAGAAAAATAGTTTTTTTTTTTCTGTGTTTTAATCTTTTTCTATCTTTTAACTGTATTTTTGTTTGTATGCGTGTATTTTTGTTTGTATACGTGTGCTGCGTTAACCATGAGGCCGATTTTTATCGGCCAGGAGGGTTGCAGCATAATCGTAAACTAAACTAAACTAAACTAAACACAAAGAAATAGTTCACATTTATCTATAAGAAAATCAAAATTTTTCGGCCATTATCCTATTTGTATCACCTTAAAATTAAAAGCAATAAATGAACTAGCTTTCCTTCTAGTAAATCAAAAAATCAGCAGAGGAAGAATTTTTCTCTAATTCCATTTAGCCAATATAAAGGAGAAACTTCCGGTATTCGATGTCCTTTCTGGCAGAAAGGAAGATAATGATACACTAGTATATAGTGATTTATTTTCAGTTCCTTCCCACACCCTAGTACAAAGAGAGGACATATTAAAAAAGATAAAATTTTATTTTCTTGTTTGCCATAGAGGAAGAGGAAGAAAATGAAGATGAGTATGTTGAAGCTGGTGAGATTTGTTTCACAGATTTGCATAGCTTATTTTTATTTAAGCATAATTTGCGAAATAATGAACGTAATGAAACTCTGTAAGAAAATAAATAGGCACATCCGTTATTCAGTAATTACAGACTTATTCTTCACATATCGCTGTATTATGAATGGCAAAGCAGCCTACAAACTAAACAAAAGCAAACGTAAAAGGAGAAAGATTTTGTTTCCAGTTTTAGACTAATAATGACGAAGATACTTTACATTTTAAACAAAGACACATAGACTCACTTTATTACTATTGTTTTACAATACTTTTGGTTTGATTCGGACAACAAAATTTCAGCTTCATTTTTGCCGACGTGATTCGATAGCATTTAATACAACTCATGTGACAGCGTTTAGTTTCCGGATGACGAATTTAAAAAAAGACTTTTATAAACATTTTACCATTTTTACTATAGAAAGAAATGACCAAATTAAAAAAAAGGCTTAAAGAGCTACTGCAAGTAAAGGTGAAAATTTTATCATAAATATTATATATTCTTTGTTCAGTCTGTGATATAATACAGGCTTGTTTTATTGAAAATCTTTTATTGATCCTCATCTTGTTCTCATCTTTGAAGCAGAAATTTCATATACTTTAATTTACATACAACATGGCAAAGAAAGTAAAGCTGTGACACTCAACCAATTATAATTGATCGGAACTGTTGTAAAAGGTACTTTACTCATTTAAATGTACAAACGTCTGCCCATTTTGAACTAATTTAGGGAATATAAAAGTTTTATTCGAACGAATTTAAATTTGGATAAGTAGTATATCCAACTTGAATACATTTATTAATCTTACATTAAATTACTACATTCTTATTTTGACCGTTTACTGTGAAACAAAATATTTTCTGAAATCATGGAAGAAATATACACCAATATCAAATACGAAATTACACAAAAACTTAAAATAGTTTTGCTTTGATTTTATAATAGAGAATCAATTTTAGGGAGTACACCATGTTCTGCATAAAAGCTTCTGGGGAGCAGAACAATTTTTCTTGTTGAAGAAACCCCCTCTTTGGCCGTGTCTATCGAGACTGATAGGTTTAGAAAATCAACACTAATGCAAGTTAGACGCTTGCATAATTTTACAATGTTTTCGACATATTTTAACCCTCTGAGTGGCCGGGGCTTTCGCTAAGAAAGCACATATTTCCCAAAACTAATATGAGAATAAATTATTTTTTTTATTTTAATGTAAAAACTACCCTGGTATTTCATACCTGGATTTGTTTTCTTCTGATATATTGCTTTAATGTCTTTGACATATTTGTATATGCACGTATATATACGCTCTTACAGATATCACAAAAAATATTCTAGGCCATATATATATATATATATATATATATATATGTATATACGGGCTTGCCGCTTAAAGGGTTTTAATAGCTTTAAATATTAATACCCAAGTTTTTCTTAACAATAAAACTGGATCAAATAATTTTACCTAAAAAAATTAATAAAGCAACGGAGGCTATAGTATATATTTTATAAGCTATAATTTTTTTAGTGGTATTATCTGTTGTAAGCTCTATAATCTGCTCTGTTTAACAGGACATGAGTTCTTAAACATAGATAAATTCAATCTAAGCATGCGTTACATTTAAAAGGCTTCATAGTTTAATGTTTAGAAGACGATCTGATACAACTACCTTTTTACCAGCAATAGAATTCCTTAATAATATTTATTAACACTGCACTATTCCCTGAAGAAGAGATTCACCACTAAAAATCTTCCAAAATGCATTTAGCCTACTTTTCAAAATCAGTGACGATTTAAAAAGAAATAAACAGTTACTACTTCAACGATTATTATTTTTCAAAAGAAAAATTTTATTTAAATGTATAATGTAATCATTGCTCATGATAGTGCCATAAAACGTCATGGTTTTCTGAACTAGAATTTTTAATTATTAAATAAGCAAACATAAATTCTATGGCTTTTATGAAGGAATCAAAAAATTTAATAAAGAAATTTTATGAAGGAATCAAAAAATGATTTTATAAAGGAATATTGGTCAAACTTACTTATACAAGAAATAAATTTACGATTACAATTGCAACTATAATCTAGATTTAGGAATCCCAAACACAATACTTATTATTCTAACCACGTGATATTTACAATTATAAAAGCATCAAGGTTGTCAAAATGTTAAATATAAAATTTACCCAAAATTTATTACAAAAGCTAGGTATGTAATAACTTTTAAAACTTATTAAAGTCTGAACACATCTTATTTTACTCCCTTAGCATACCAATTCTTTTAGTTACGAGACATGATTTGTTAAGATATTCTTATTTGTTATAAAAGACAAAACACTGAATCGTTTAACCTAGAAAGCGGATACATTACGAGATAAAACGTTTATTTATGAATCTATATTTTAAATAACGTGATACGGATAAGGATTAGATGCGCAAATTGTTAATTCAATTCAATATAACCAGGAAATTTAAAACGTTATTGCTTTACAAGCATTGTAAGATAGAAACTTTAATAGTTATAAACATTTATATGAGGATTTAAGGTTAAATGTGTTTTCCACTTATTTACCACTGCAATACGCAAATCATATGCAGAGCTTTGTTGTCTTGGAAATGAAAAGGTTTGTGTTCTTTCTAGATTAAATGTAAAAGTCATTAAACTATTCAAAATTGCATAGTTTTTAAAACAATTTATTTTTTCAGGTTCAGTTACATCGAATTTAATATCTCTTAGGTTGAGGTGAAATCTGTGTGAACAGTAATGCCCTAGTAATGATTTACCCACAAACGTAGTCTAATACATTTGCATGTAAATGTATCTATTAAAATTTATGTTAGTATAATGCTAAGAACATATATGCGTCTCAAGCGTTTTGGCATTTTTGCTTTTAATTTTCGTCATTCGTTGAATTTATCCATTGATATGAGTCTGAAGTAAGAGGTGTGAGTAGAGTGTAAATTCCAAACCTGGAAGCAATGGGTAGGATTTGGAACACTTACATTTTTGTTCTTCATAAGTTTTTTATCAACAACTATAGCTATTTGAAAAAAAACTTTCTTGCTATTGCTTCCAAAATGGGGGGGGGGCACTGGGTTTATAAAACTAAATAAAATGTTGCATTCAATCATGGAGGTAGGAAGTAAGATGGAGTGGTCCTAACCGGTTTTTCCCATATCCTACTCTGAAACACTGGCGATTCCTACGTGGTGACCAAAACATTGGTCATTAATTTACCATTAAGTTCAATAGGTTTTGACACGATCGGATGTAAATATTTTGTAATTACGTCGCAAATATACATATAAATGTATATATTTTCTTTTTCTACAGTACTTCAGAGTCCTAAGTATATGAAAAGAATACATTTTTAAACAACATTTCATTCTGAACGGAATTAAAGGCTATACTTTTAACAGAACAGTTTGCTCAGAATGTTTTAATTTGAATGAAATATTTTCACAAGTTTTCGTTAATTACATTATAAAAACAATTTTAAGGTAATTCGATTTTATTCGGTTAAGGATTACAAAAATTAAGATCAAATTTTATTGTATTATTAATATTAAAATTATGCATTATTTCTTTTCTATTTTTGGAGCTTCTTCCTAAAGTACTTTCTCAAATATGACATATTTTAGCTTCTGAGGCATCTTTTAAATGGAAAACTATAAGTCAATTTATAATTAATGATCTATTCGGTCCATTTCAAATTAGAGCACCTTTTATTTTAAAAGCGAAATATTTTAAATAGTACTTAACTTTCTCTGAATATTTCTGAAAGGGAATAAAAAAAGGATTTTTTTAACATTATTTAAAACTTGTAACTGAGTTATAAAATATAAGGGGAATAATTCTTTTAATTATACTTATCAGATTTTTTTACCCATAATTTCAACAATACGTATTCCAAAACTGGTCTTTAATACTTTCTTAAGTACGCATCTCATAGAATTTGCTTTACAATACCTTTCAACATATTGCTTTAAAGTACGAACAATTCTTGCTTAAGTAGTTTTATAACGTATTTGTCAACAGGATTTCAGTTTACGTTTACAATTCAATGCTAAGTTTATAATATATTTATATAATATTTATAATCATTATAAATTTAGATATATTTAATAATTAGATTTCTTCACAGTAACTTTCACTTGTTTATGAATGAATAAATTCTTCCTTTCAAATAGATTTATAAATAATTAAAAAAAATATTTACGTATTTTGTTAAAGGCAGATACATGCCTTTTGTAAGTACATGCATAAATACCTATACATATTTCATATTTTTAATTTCAGGTATGTGCAAATCTTTAATTTTTGGTCATTCACTATATTTTTCGAGTAAAGTAATTTACACTAATTTAACATATACCCGAAAGTTTTACATAAGAAATATGCATAAATATAATT